CGTTAATTTGAAATGCTTCGAACAATGGAAGTGTTTGAGCTCAACCGACTACGCACCAAGACTCTCGCCTGGCTTGTCCGGGTGTGAGCACCGGAAACCTCAACCCTATGCATGGACCAATGGAAGCCAAAACAATTTCTGAACCCTAAACAACACACAAGCACACTGCCCTCTACTGAGGTGTCTGCGCCTCTCCTAACCGCCGAAGAACCTGCCAGACTCCCAGAGTCCGCGGATTAGGGTTCGGGGTCTACCTAAACCGCGAACCACCCTCCTCCTCCATACCCCAAATAATAAAGGACCACCAGGGCAATGTTAAAAGGGTACCTTGGGTTCTGGAGAGTGGCAGCCTCCGATACCGGGCTCAGTCCGAGCTCGGCAGGCGATTCTGGTTTCGTTCTCTTCCCCGCATGTTCTGAAGGGATTCAAAAGAAAATTGGGCGAGGAGAAGGGGATGCTCAGTTAAGATCCTGAGAATTAGGTTTCTAATGTTTAGAGTCCATCGTTTTGGGTCTTTCTAAACTCCAATTTCACAGTGTCTGGACCTTGTATATTCCACTTGCGAAACTGGCGTACTTTGCATCCTTTGGGTGAAAACAAATCCTAAAATCCAAACATTCATACTCCAAACCTCGCGACCGGATCAATCTATTAACTTCTGCACACCAGCCTTTGAACATCTTGAAGGAAAGAGGAGGTATATAAACAGTTGAACAGTACCCCTTGAACCTTGACTTGCTCCTGACCACTGAACCCTAAAAAGCCTTCTCGATCTAAGTCCCTAAGACAGCCCCCTCTCAGTTCCCAACCTCTCAGACCGTCGTAACTACCCCTTCCCTGGCATTTCGGAGTGAATGCGAAACTCCAAACCCAATGAATACCCTAGTATATACGTAAACCTTATGCCCGAGAATCTGTAATCCTTAAGAACATAAGACCTTAAACCAAGGAGGATCGACCCTTGGTGCTCCCCAGTGCGCTCGCCACCGCCTCGTGGACGTCGACCTTGGCCAGGCGATCATTGCGAACGCAAGGCGGGCTCCGCTCAGGGTTTGAGATTCAATCTTCAAAGTTGAGGTGGGGAGGTAATTAATTACCGACTGGAATTAGGGTGTAGGATGGTGTAGGGTTTGGATCTAGCCGCCAGCCTGGTGCAAGGAAGGAGCGTCCAGAGCTTGAAACGTCGACTTTTCGATTCTAGGGCTAATCTTCATACTTCTTTGTGGTTCTTTACGGTAACTTCTCTCTACGCAAGCATTGCATCTCACATGTATATATATATATATATAGAGATAGAGAGAGAGAGAGAGAGAGAGAGAGAGAGAGAGAGAGAGAGCCTCAAACCCCGAGCAAAGCAGAGAGAGAGAGAGAGAGAGGGGGAAATCATATGTGTTATGCACACACACACACACACACACGCACACCTGCATACACACAACAGATAATTGCATAACCAGGTCCATATATACATAATATATAAGAACATATATGTGTTCATATTAATATGTATCTCGCTGTTAACTCTTTTGTATACACATCCACACGCTGTTTGATATGAGCCTATGAAGGCCTTCTAAGTTTAGTAGCATTCCCTGTACTGTCTTCGGGTGGGACGCAGGCTTGTCCTTCTGGCAGACGCCCGTTCACCCTGGAGGCTCGGCAAGGGGGAGACTGGGTTCGTTTAGGCTCAAGGTTTACCTATAGTCTCCATTGTAGTTCCTTTTCTTGGTTAACCAACATGTCTACTATAGGATCAGGCACTCAGGCAGGGGGAGCTCTAAATTACAACAGCCTGACCTTCGGGTTTCAAAACTCGGAGAGTTTAGCCGTAGAGATATGTATGCAAAACCGAGCACCCGAAACTGCAGACCAAAATGCCGAACCCAACGTTACAAGGGAAACCTATAAACACTTGACAAACCTACGAAAAATCGATAACATCAATGACGGACACCTTGACCCAGGAGTCTCAAAACCCACTTCTACTGTAGCTCTTTAGACCCTCAGCGGTTCACGTTTTCGGGTTTAGGGTTTTGGGTTTACTCTAGGGGCCTTAACAATTACCTATACCTTTTGGGGGTTCCTTATCATAATTACAGTGTTATCCTGCTCCAACACCCTATTCCTTCATTAAGGCCCCTATAGTAGGCCAACATCGCAGCCTCTTGTGCAGGTCCCGCTCCACATCTCGTTCCGCTTCGGCCGCAAATGCAGTGCCACTGGGCGGGGAAGTCGGGGGTCTTGTTTGGGTGAGTCCTCCAATTTAATGTAGGAGCCTGATTAAGAGACCTTGGGCCTTTATTAGGGTTCCTTGTATGAATCCTACTATTTGGGGGTTATAGGCCCAAGGTTTCTTAATCAGGTTCCTACTTCAATGCTGCTCTTAAGCTTAAGGGATCGGTGTGTCTCTGCCACTTCAAAAAGACATGAAGGCGGCTCCGAATTAGGGGGTAGAGCCCTCTAAATGTAGTTGTCTGCCAATGCCTGTTGATACGCCGCATGATATCAACAGCAAGCAAAGGAAGTATGTATGTGTACACACACCGGAGTATGGATGCAGACATACCTGGGAAGACGACAGGAAGTTTGGCGCGGCTTGCCTGTCTCCTGCTGAGGCAACGGCAAGGGTGAGATCTACGAGATAGGAAGCATCGCCAAGGCTCTATGGCGAGTTTCGGGTCATTCGGCTCCGGAATTTCTGGTGCTTCGGGTCTTTAGGCTAGAGGGTTTGGGGTTTAGACATTAGGGTTTCGAGCCTGTGAGTTTCAGTCAGGGTTTCTCATTGCTGACAATCGTGCGGCGATTCCAGTTGGCAAGAGTTTTGCGCCAGCCCGAAATGCGAATTCAAAGGACCTGCAGCTGCCTAAGAAAAGCGGGTCCCAAACCCAAGACCCCCAGTCCCTTATCGTATTCTCTGTGCGAGTTGCAGGAGAACTCGGCCCTGCAGCGCGTCAGCACCGCGCCGAACCTCCACTCAAGCAAGGAGCGCAAAACAGCGGGCATTCGAGGTTTAAGGGTGATTGAGGTGTCAGGGTTGAGGGCCCCACTTCAACTAGCAAGTTGCTGCAAGCTCGTGAGCATGATCTGATTATGAGCGTGTCGTCAACATACTTCACTCTGTCAAAGTCAGCAGCTTCGAACCGTGTATTTGGCGTTCTCGCGGTGATGTTCTGTTCACATGATATGCCCAACATTACGTACCCGTCTTTAAGGGGTCAGCTTTTCAGGCTTGGGGATTAAGTAGAGTTTTTACTAGGCTTGCTGCAACAGTAATGGCTTGGGCCCAGTATCTTTACCTTGGGCTTGTCAGACTCATGTGGGGCTCCTGCCTGCTATCCTTTCGGATGGTGGGCATTTCCAAGTCGCAGTCGGATTTGGGCGTCCGGATTGGGACCGGCATCATCGCCAGAAAGCCAGGAGATCTGCTTCGCAACATGCCTCAAGCCCGAGTGCAGAGAAGCATCGAAGCCTCAATGCCAAACCCCGGACAGTGGACTGGAACCCCCAACGCTGGTCGTGTAGCTACAGGACCTTGCTGGTAGAATTGCTAATTTTTGCAATCTGCACCTGTCCTACCCCGAGCCCGAAGTACCGCTTGGTCGTCAGGCACCAGCTTGGCCCGCTTTAGCGCCCAAGCTGGATGGAGACAAGCCAGCCGGGCTTGCAATGCAGGTGCGAGCGCAGGTTACCTTTACCATGAGGGGATGTTTGGGAGTACTTTGGGGTTTTCCTACTTGTAGGATGCTGTCGAGCATAAGGCTTCAGGGGGCAGATGGTTTCAGGACCCATGCAAGTTTCACAGTCTTGACTCGCCTCTGCAGCTGGTGTACAGGCCCAAGGCCCTTCGAAGACCCTCAAGTTCTGAGCGGGTGGAGTGCGAAAGACGGTTAGTGGGCAGACGTTGGGAGATTCTCGTTTTGATGCATGGTCCCTTGTGTTTCGTTGGTGTCCTGGCTTGTTGTTTTAGGAGCGGTGGCTTTGGGGAGGCAAAAGTTTGGTCTGGATCATCCTAGGCTTCGAGAATCCCTTGATTGGTATCCTTCTGCTGTCGTGATTCGCAGTAGCATGAGCACTGACTACGATGACTCTGCGCTAACGGATTCTGTAGTTTGGCATATGTGGCTAACACGCATTCTCACGAAGCTGGTGGAGCACTTGCCACTCGAACTCCGACACTTGTACTCCCGAAGACGCGATGTCCTGCGAATGGTAAGAAGACGCCATTTGCATTCATCACATGAAATCAGCAATAACCTGCAACATATCGAGGATTTGAAGCCTAAATTGGGCCGCTGTCCTACACTCTTCACATCTGATAAACCGCGAACCACCCCGCCGCTGACCTGACAGTTTCCACAACCTCAAAGTTGGTGTGCCTCGCCTAGATTGTCCGAGTGTGAGCGCCGAAAGTTGGGATCCGAAGTCCCCGTTGAACCCTAAACCCTTAACCGTTGAGGCGGGCAGCCCTTCCGTGGTCGCCTCGGTCGCGGATTTTTCAGGTGTTTCTGTGCGTTTGCAGCGATCGCTGCCCGGTCTACACCTGGCCGATCGCTGAAGCATGTCTGATTCTGATCCTGTCAGCGTAGCTGCTATGTTATATGCTTGCTACTCGTCTACTCGTTCTGGTCTGAGTGGATAGTCCAATCCTGAATCATGATGCTGCCTGGTTCTGGCCTTGGGCTCAAAGCTGCTGCTGCCAACTACTTGCAAAGCTTAAACCCCACGGCCTAAACCGCACCTCGCAACCACAGACAGAACCCCAAACAGCTCAAGCAGTAAGCCCTAGACTGAGGCCCTAGACGCCAATGTAGAAGGAAGGTGCCACACTAGCAAGTTGCACACACCCGGCGAATCGCATGAGTTGTCTTCCTAAACCCATAGCCTGGCTTTATGTTGGAGTTGTTAACACAGCAAGCTCCAAGTAGGACTCCACCATAGGACAGCCCACATCTCTTCAGAAGCATGGCCATCAACGAGCTCTTTGAGAATACAGGAATGCCATGCCCGCACTGGAGAGGAGGCCGCGACAGTTGCTGCTAGCACTTTTGTTGTCACTGGCGTTGGGCATGCCTCCCAGCTGCAAGTGCCCTCTAGGCTGAAGACGCAAGATCCGAAACCCGAATCTCTGAAAGAGGGATATTGCAGGGTCAGATGGCATTCGGGGTTTCAGCTGCTGTTCTCATGACTTGGGAATTAATCTCCATGTTGTTAATGTAAGTCCAATGCTTCTTAAAGACACTTTGCTCTTTTCAGGTTCTAGGGGGCTGATAGCACAGCTGGCACAACAACACAAGCCGAGGCGGCCAAGTCGGATCACTAGTGGGCTGCTGCGCAGAGGCTCGGGCTTTGTGCTCCTTTGTTTAGAAATCAAGGGCCCATAGGGCTTCGGTTTAGGAGTTTAGTGTGAACATCCGGGGGTGGACGTTTGGGAACTGGTCATTGCAGATCGCAGGGACTTGGAGGAGGAGCCAGGATTCTGCAACGATGGAGCTTGAAAGAGAGATAGCAGGTCTGCGTAGGTCTGGAAGAGGTCTCAACTAGATCTTGGCTTGATGGGTCAACCCCCCCGGCCCCTCCCAGATGCAGCTATCGTAAGACGTCCCACAAGGCCGCCCCCCCCTCTCTCCTTCCGGCATCACCCTCGAGCCAGACCTGGGCTTCGCACAATTTCTAACCTTGCAGGCCACTCCCTTGATGGCCACCCAAAGTCAAAAGCATGTCTGGAGCCTTTATAATTTAGGAACCCGATGAAGAAACCTTGGGCCTGTATTAGGGTTCCTTGTATGAGCCCTACTATATTGGAGGTTATAGGGCCAGGGTTTCTTAATCAGGTTCCTACATTACCATAAACTGCATTGCGGAGTGGAGGTATCGCTTCCCCAAAGTTGAGTTTCATGCTGGGAGCCGTGCCTATGCTTCTCGAGCTGCATGTATTTCTCCGGTGCAGGGGGTTGGTGTTCTAAATGTTCATTGATCCCGAGCCTTTTGGGGTTGGGGTTACGGGTTTGTCGGAAAGGCTTACACCCAAAACCCTTGTAAACGCTATTACTATAGCCTATAAACGCTAAATCCCAAACGCAAGACTCCCTACAGTAAACCCCAAAAAGTTGGAAACCGGATTAAGGCCAAATAGTGCTGGGATTCCCTATACATTACTCTTAAGGATTGAGGCTATGGGATTTCCATCTTTTTGGGCTTCTCCTGTGCAGCCTTCAACCTTTCCTGGAGCTTCCTGACAGTCTCTCGCCGAGTGGCCCCCCGAACCGTGGGCACAAAGAGCTCGATACAGTGTCTCGTAACTCATGAGTATGCCTTAGATAAGTCATATTCCGGTATATCCTTGAGATGATGATTCATGCAAGCTTCGGAAGCATATGAATAAGAAGGATCTCCCCTTAGTTTAAGATGGATCCCTCATTCAGGGAAGGCGCTGGTTCCTGGGTGGGTTGCGGCTGATTTTACAGAGGTTTGAGGGCTGCGACCTCGCAAGGCCTCGTGCAGGATTCGGGCTCCAGGGGCGTGAGCTTCAGGAGTTTCGCCAAGTTTTCATACACCCCTCGAGCCGCTAGCCGTAAGTTTTTTGGTTTCAGCTAATCCTGAGCCCCATAGATAAATATTAGGGAGCTCCAGGCTGGGTCGCGCAAGGTTAGATTTGAAAGGCTTTAGGGTTTAGGTTTTAGGGTTTTGGCATATGCATAGTCCAGGTGTTAAAGGGTTTAGGGTACTATAGGGTTTTGATCTTCCGGTTTGGAAGCTTGAGGATAGCCGTTAAAGAATGCAAGGGGCTGCAATACAAGGACCCAGCGTTTTTGTATAAAACACCATCTCCGAAAACACCCATATGTTCAGTAGTTTTGAGATAGACCATGTAAAACAAGGCAACTGAATTTCTTTTGGCTTCAAATTTCAGACCAGGCTCTCCACCCTTCCTCCGATCGCCCACGCCTCGCACGGGGCGCGCTGCACGGCATCTCGTCCGGCTTTGGCTGGTTTGGGGCTGACCTGGAGTTGCATCAGAGCACATGAACGTGGGTTTGGATAAGAAGGAAAGAAACTAAACTGTGCCTGAAATTTGTCATTTCCAAATGTAGAACATTTGAACCCTGCCTGTAAACATAATGTGACAAGGAGCTCTCAAGAAATCCAGGGTCGTGGATTGGAAAGCCTACTTCGATGCAGGGATTAACTCCAGACGTTTGCTTGCGGCTCTTGAGGCAGATTTCATATGGGGTTTATGGTTTAGGGTGGCATACACTCCAAGTCCGTGCTCAAAAAGGGTGGCATCCTCTTCCTTAATATACAAAGAGAGACATCAAGACATGAGCAAATCCTGCCTCATCAAGGCACAGTCTTTTCAAAGTCCTTGATTATCAGAGAATGTTAATGCGCGCAAACTTCTGTAGCCATCGAGTACACATACCTTTGAGCCTGGGAGATCTCGCATGGCGCTGGCACGTTTGAGTATGTCTAGGTCATACTTGGTTCCCCTGTAGTGCCCTGTTGCCGTTTTCCGGGTCCCTTGATTAAAGCCGAAGAGCGCGCACTTCATTCACAACAACCGGCTTAGGCGAGTGCCGCATGCGCAGATGGAGGAGCCACCACGAATGCTGAGTCTAGACTTCAAGGTTTTGTGATTATTATGAGTACTATATGTAACCATTATGAGTGGTTATCGTAGTACACTAGTTATGATATAGTAGCTTGAGTTCAGATGGGTAGAAGTGTGGCTGCCAGCTTTGTTGAGCTTTACGTCTACCGAATCCTGGGCTTGCGCTATAGACTGTTGCCAAGTCCTGAGCGCTGCAAAGACAACCAAGGTAGGGCTTTGGGACATTTTATATTTCCCTTATTGGTCTTAAGAGGATCTTATTTACTAATATTTTTCAAAGGCTTTAAAAGCACCACCTAGTCGCCCCACAAACCCTATGGGCCTAGATCCTATAAGGCAAGAAAATCTATATAACCTTCAGCGCCATAGTGCCGAAGGTGTTGAATCCTGGGCCCTGAAGCCCTGGCCCACGCACCGAGGACGACCTGCAGAAAGCCAAAGAGCTCCGCGAGCAAAATGGGCTGGGAGACATCTCGGCATCGGCGGCTTAGTCTAGAATAGAGTTTAGCGCTCAGATTTGGGGCTTAGGGTTCGGGGGTTCGGGGTTTAGGTTCAAAAAAAGGTTCAGAGTTGCAAGGTCTAGGGTCTGTGGCGGGGCGTCTACCAGGACCCTCCCTGTAGCCTTAAATAATTCGGGGAACATATACCTATAGGCACATAATTGGTAGGTATTCGAGGCATATTGGAGGACAGATGGCGGGTCGAGCTAGAAGGAATCGCTGGAGGAACATTGGCGTGGGTTGAATGAATGAAGAAGCTTGGAGTTGTTGTGGGCCAAGTTGCGAGTCTTTTGGTCAGCCTAATCAGTTGGTAAACTCCCTGAACCGTTAGTCAGTCGCTTCTTTTATCCGAGGCTCAAGCCTTGGAGCAGCTTCCTGATGTCATCATCGACGAGGGCACCTTTAAGTATGTGGCGCTGCCCAGATTGGTGCTGATCCTTTTGCCTTAATACAGAGCCCTTAGAGATAGTATTCCCTCACAGCCTCTTGAAAGGCTCATCACATTGGCATCAGGGTAAGGGATAGCTTGACTGGCTTCGACTTGAATTACCCTTCGGGACTGTAGTGCCTATTGTTCGGCATGAATCACTTAGACTTGGGCTTAGCTGGTCTGTCCGGAAGATGTTCGCAGACGTGTGCTGAGTGACACCATGACCATGAACAGCTGCAGAGATTAGCCGAAAAGCAACATGCTGCCCGTGCGTCTCCCCCTGCTGCAAACGCTGACGAATCAGATCCGCACAAAGAGCCGGAACCAATGCCCCAAAGTGGCTCGGAGCACCATATTGATACTTAGACCTCTTTGGGTGTCAGAAGCAAATTCTGCATATTGATAACTGACTTTTTTACATATGCGTGTGAACAAATCAGTTATAATTATCAATCCCTAGGGATCTAAGGACTCATATATTAAAGCTTTTGGGCCCAAAGACCATATACTATATAAGGCTTTTGGGGCTATTTTGATCCCTAGGGAACATGTTCTGAAGTACGTCGACCCGAGACCGGCTCTCAGGTTCTGCTGCGTGTCACAGCGGCGAGTGGAGAGACCTTGCCTGTGTTTCGAGTACTCAGCTTCGGGTTTGGGGATCGGGAGATGAACTTCTGAGCTGAGGGAGAGATCCTCAACCTCGTGCATATGTGTGCATGTTTTTATCCGTTGGCTTGTTACACCTGTGTATATAACAAACAACTTGTCATAATAGTTCGGTTCCATAAACCCAGCGAATCGTTGTTTTGGGCCGGGGACCTCAGCAACCCGGTGATGTCGACACGTTTGAGCCTTCTACCGGAGACCATCTATGTTGCAGTTTGTGTTTTGGACAGTTGGCACTGTGGCGTCCAAGGGCGCTACGACTCTACGGTGTTGGACCGAGGCAGGTGCAGGCTGTTGCTTCGCCCCTAGAGAACAAACACTCCGAAATACTTCAGCATAAAGGGTGTTGTTATTAAAACCTTCCTGCTGAATGCCTCCAGTCAAGAACTAGGAACGTAATTGGATGCTCAGGTGTAACAAACTGGCCTGAGTAATGACCAGTTTTCCCCTTTGGATCCTGCAAGCCATTCTACATAGTCAAGCCCCTATCTTTGCAGGGTGTATAGGGTCTCATGAGGGTTTTGGAGGGTTTGGAAGAAGGCAACTACAGCTGTGGCTACAGTTACATGTCGGTCCAACACCAAAGAAGTGGCGGTCTTATTGTAGTGCTACCGATGTTTCGAAGCGTCGAGCCAGATCTTGTCGCGGGGTGTTGGGCTGGGGGTAACAGCCATCTGATCTCTTGGGTTCGTGAGCGGATACCTCATACTAGTAGTGCTTGCACCCTCACAAAGCTTAAGCACCAAGCTCAGGAGAGAAAATATCTCGTCCGTGGCACCCTGGGTGCTGTGCATCCGGCATTCGTTGATTCTGCTGCAGGGAGTGATTGACAGACTCAACCGCAGCCTGAACAACCCAGACCGCAAGCAGCAACCGTGATAGTAGTGGTTCTGCTACGCACGCACACAGAGCCTTCAAACTACAAAGTGCTTCCCGTTGTGCACTTGATGTGGCCTGGCCACCGGAGGGATTGGGTGGAGTCGGAGTTGTCTTTCTTGGATGTCTGGACTTTGGGAATGTGGAGGATGGTAGTCGAAAGTCCCCGTACGTACAGAGTAGGACACAACAAGTCTTGGTCTTAACCGTCTTAACCTTAAGACAGAAAAGCTTCAGGCCTTCAAACTTCGAATCTTACAGGCCCGAAGCCGACACTTTGAGTTAGAGACCAAGAATCCTGCCAGGAGTTCCACAAAGATGTGGCGCTGCCCTACGTCCGGGCGTACCTCAAAGACGGCTTCGGCGTAGAGGCTTGAATCATGTTGATGCTCTTGAATTGCAACATAGCAGGAGCCGGAAATCCTCTCCGGACCCCCGAAGCCAAATCCAAAGCCTGCATAATAATCAGGGGACTTGGTACCAATTAGTGCACTGATAACTCTACTCATCACTTACGTAGTTACCTGCTAAGCCCCTTGATCTTAAGCCCTAAACCCTGTGAGTGCCGAAAACCTACAGCCCCTGCAGGATCGACCCTGGCTGTGACCCTTAAATGCCTTAAACCCATTGACTGCATCATTGCTTAAGCCCCGCTGCTATAAGTATATGATAGTATAGCCCAGAACCTTATTCTAGCTTTTGGCCCCTGTTACGCTTCAACACTGAACCACACCTCCCACAGATCCTCGGTGGCGGCCGAATCTTGCACGATGTGCCGAGGCACCCGTCTGTGGGCTTGTTGTTTAGGCGGGTTCGGGCTTTTGAACACAATCTTGCACAAGACAGTGTAAAGATATGGGGGTCATGGCGCGCTGTGTTCAAAAGTGAGTTATAGGTTTGATAGATCTTACTCAGTTTTGGTGTGGGGGTCTTCTGAGACTGTAGTGTGTAGGATTGTCTGGAATGCTTCGAATGACAGGGGTGATTCATTTTAGGGAGTACTACAGACGCCTGAAAAGTTACCAATCTTTTTCCATCGGGTTCCTACGTAGTTTTACACATACCATATGATATACGCCCTTCTACTTACACAATCAGTCTTACTCGTCTACCATAACAGGCACTCGTACTCGAGCTTGTGTTGTTAATTGCGGAACTGTTCGTGATGCTTTTATCCAGTCAGCTCGTTGAACATTGGCATCTGGGCAGTCCTACAAGATACTGTGCATGAATCTATAATTACAATATGTTACGATTGCGTCGCGTCACTTGAACTTCGGAAACGGCCTTACGTCACAGAAAGGAGGAAAACGACGGATGAAGGAGGCAAGGTGCAACCCGACAAATAGACAATTGTAAACTTAAACACTGTGCATATGCAAGCTTCGTCCGTTTAAGATAACTGATATGACCTTTGTAGTGTCTTGGATATTCACTCTTAGGGACCCCTATATCAGCCCCTTCCGATGCCTCGTCTAGACCCTCAACCCTGCGCCCTGAAACCTAAACCCTGACCCTTGAACCCCTGAATCTCAAAAAACCCTACAAGTAGAACCCAGAGCCTGACCCTAAACCCAGAAACCGCAATCCTACTTACAGGACCAAGCGGCTTATATAGTAAGTAGGTGTTAAGCAGGATATTATATGCAGGATAACCCGATTTATGATACATGTAACCTTGCTTTATACCCCAGATACCTACTGAACTCCTAGAATCTAAAAACTGGACCCCGTAACATTAGAATCAAGACTACAAAGCTCAATGTCTCAAACCTAAACCCCAAGCCCCCAGGGGCTTCTTTTTAAGAACTTCCAAAATGAAATTCATAATCAGGAGCCCAAAAAAAGTAGCTTGTTTAGGGTCTATGAAAGCCCCCAAGGGGCTTCCTGAAGCTCTACGGCTTCTCCTATGGCTTTCCCTGGGCCGATGGCGCTGGGCACGAGATCTCTGCCGAGGAATCTGGTTTTCAGCGGAAAAGCTGTAGGATTTCAGGGTTTAGGGTTTTGCTTATACGGTTGCGATCTGTGTCGTTGCTGCTGGCTTCGTGAGAGTCCATGTACAAAAGTGCATAAGGTGTGGGTTTAGGGCTTATGGGGCTCGCGGGGCAACATCTTGAGGCCTCAGGTATACAGCTCTCAGCGTCGTGAGCGGGGTTAAGGGTTTAGGGTATGACAGGTGGTTCAGTGTTATGAGCAAGACCGAAGTGATGCTTAGCAAGAAGGTCGGAGCTGCATTTTGTGGATGTGCGCCAGGTTTGCAGAGAGTTCTTCTCCGGCTACGAGGCGGGTCAGATGCACCTAGTTACCAGCAGTTATCACTCGCTCCAAGACGCAACATCCCCGGGCGAAAAACACTCCTTTCCGGAATGCACACAAACCTTTATCCTAACCCAGATGCCTGATGCACTTTTCAGACATCCTCCAGCTGCACAAAGCACTTCGCTCGAACCCTAAAGCCTAGAATTAAGGAGGAGCCTACCCAGAGAGACCTACAGCCCTGCATTGAGAGGTTTCACAATGATTCAATCATGTTTTGCTCCTTCTATCGTCCAAGAAGGTTCAAGGTCTGTGCCTCAATTAAGTGCACCACGAACCCTAAAATCGTGCCTGCATCCATGTCAGGTGGATTGGACGAATGACGGCTACTGAGCCCTCGGGCCCTGAAGGGGCCGTCAAAGCAGAGCGTTTGTCCCTGCCTTCTCCTGAAAAATTAACCACAAGTCTTCGCAGCATGAATGTGTCCTTATCACTGAGCCTTACCAGCATCTCCCGATGTCAGCCGAAGATGTCTGGATAATCAAAATCAATAGTCGTCTCCTCCGATATTCCTCTGAGGTTTTGTATTGTTAAGGCCTGTAAGGTACTGAACCTCCCCAAAGGTCGCCGTGTTCCAACTGCAGCCCATCGCGGGGAGACCCGTTTCCATTAAAGGGGTCGCACTACCCAAACCCGACCCTGAACCCCATGATGAGGTCCAAACCGTCAGCTTTGTAAAAGTACCCAGTATCCTTTTGGTTACTGGGGAGTCACTGGGCATCCTATAGAATCCTAGAAGGGCTTTCCACCGATGTAGAGGCTTTGTAGTTTGGAAGAAGACTTACGTAGGGATGGAGACCCCCTATCATCTTTTAACCCCTAGATTAGGCCCTCCTTTTTCAATCAGTGCAGCCTACAGAGACTCTTAAACTAAATTCCTATGAACCCTGCACTTTATGTCCTACATCTTTAAAACCTGAAGTCCGAAAGTTGCGAAGCTTGTCTGAGTGCGAATGCCGAAACCGCACCAGAGCTAGGTCGACTTCGGCATTATTGCAGCGCCGCTGATCCAAAACAAACTTGGTGCGATGGGGATTTGGGAGTTCAGATGGGGCATCCAGGCAGGAGTAGAAGTTCCTGTTTCAAAAAGGTTTTCCGGGGTGTGTTTTCTACTCTTGAGGTGCCGGAGTATGAGTTAGGCTTCCAGGTGCAGCACCTTTGAGATTAACATCAACAAAGTACTTCTGGGCGTTCGGTCTAGAGCTGTTCTAGGTGGCCATTTGGGAAACTTGTTTTATTTCCCCTTTATGATTCCTGTAGATTTCCAGAGCCCCAAAACTACAACCCAGGATTCAATATTTTCAGGTGGCTTGGTTGTGCTGTGACGGCTTGGGGGCCTTGGCTTTTAGGGTTTGGGAACCTTCTGTTTCTGTCAAGTCAAGGTTGCTGTTCCCATTACTGTTATGGGAGTTTCCGAAAATAGGGGACCATTACATGGTACCCGAAATAGTAGCTTCCTTGTTATAAGGGCCCCATAATAAGGGACGCCTGATTGTCGGAAACTCCCATATGAGCACGATATCATTATATCACCTTCCCAACAAACAGCACCAGCCTCCTTGCCATGTGTCATCGTGTCTTGTAACTTTCGTCATGATCGAAACTGCGGCACTGCTGGCACATTCGCGTGCACGGGAACTGTGCTACAATCTCTACCTCTTCACGTGTTATATGCCCTCGACCACCCTGACGAGCATGTAGTGTGGGAGCCGTAAACGAACATCCAGTGTTTTGAACAGACCCCGAGCCCAGCTCCCGCCCGACCCCCGAACCGGCTTCTGTTTGTGTAAGTGATGTCTGTTTCGAGTTATAGGAACCATTCGAAAACTGAGGCACTGGACCGAAACGTCTTAGAGGATTGGGCGCTGTTCCTAGTGAAAGCTTCTACACAGGGCACAAGTTGAGATGCCCGTGGAAACACTCAAGTAATAATTTAAACTGCCCCCTTCCGCACCTGATCCCCGAACCCTCAGCCTACATCCCGCCATCACACCTGGACATCCAAGTCACCCGACTAAGACAGTTGAAGCGAAAAGCTAGACGAACTAAGCTCAAACTAACAAGGCCGGCACCCGGAACTTGCTTGGGCCGACGCCGCCCGAGCCTCATTTGGTGTCGTCCCTGCCCATGTTCGGATTCTGGGCTTCAGGGACCCTGCCTTGAACTACCAAGCCATTTAGTTCCAGAAATTTGGTTGTGAATTGCTCAGTTAGGCCCTACAAGAAAAAACGGTCTATGATAGCTTAAGGTCGGGCTTACTTAGGCTCCGTGGGGAGGAGGGATCAGATATGAGAGAGACGGGCTCAAACCCAAATGTTCTAGTTTTGGCCCTGGTTTTCTGACAGTAGACACGTCTACTACCATGACGGGCTGGAGCAATGAACAGCACACTATCACTACTAGTCTGTCTGGTTCTTAGTAGGGAATTGGAATAGATCCCTGTGATAGTCCCTTAACGTCCCCAAGAATAGTCCCCATAACCCATTCCCTACCAAGAACCAGACAGACGCTATCCCTACTAGTTGGCTTTGAGACCTCGAACTCCATTCTGGCAGTGCGCACAAGGACAGTCCGGATTCTGTTGAATTGGATCTGCTTTTACAAGCTCCAGTCTCCTTTCTAGTCTTCTGGTTGTCTCATACTTACTTCGGAAAACTCGACGTTCATAACTTCTATTTGGAGACATAATTTTCGTGTTTGTTTTTATGATGGGCCCAAGGTGTGGTTTCAGAGGGCCATGCCATAGCACGTGTAATGTTTCTGATGTCGCACTGACTACATAGTTTACCAAGACACATCTGCATATGTGGCTTTGGGTTAGATTACATGGTGGAGGAAGGCCAAGCATTCAAAGGAAACACATGCAGGTTGTTGCTCTGGAGCTATGGCAGATGTCGGGATGTTTCTTCGCAGACATGTGGCATGTATTGCAACGGTCGTGTCTCCGGTACGCGTCTTGCTCAGCGAGAACCAAACCCAGTACATGTACTTAGCCAATTTATTTAGCTTGGGAGTACCCTGACCCTAAGCCCTAAAGCCAGTTCGTCATGAGCTAACTGTTGCCACAACGGAGACCCGGGCTCACCCCTTTGGGGTCTTGGCTCGTCTTCGACTTCAAGGAGTTGACTGGTTCCTTGCTAGTTTGCATTTTCCTCACGATAACCGGGCGAATTGTCTTGAGACTTGGAATTCAGGAATTCAGTTGTTGGAGGAATTTATTATGCCTGCAAGAATTCAGGATCGAGTAGTCGTTGCTGCTGATGTGAATCAGGACTTGAGTCTCGAATACGATGTGTTTGCACAGGTACCTCGACTCAGGGCATGCATGCGCCTCGCGGGTCTGGACTTGCTTATTCCTGATAGGGATACGTGGCACGCCAGAGGACTTAGTACGAAGATTGATTTCATGCTTTTTCGAGCACCAGGGATGGACTTTCAGTTGGCTGTTCGGGATGATTTGAGGCTTGCTCTTCCTTCAGATCATTCAGCTCTCATTCTGACGATTTTCTCCAGACTGCCCTTCTATCGGCGGAGACCTTGGGTAAGCCGCCGTTGCGGGAAGTGGATGGCAACAGAGGCTGCTGTTCAGGAAGCCCTTAATTCATTTGCTGAGGCCACCATGAACCACCAAGTCATTGAATCCATTGCAAAACAAGCTAGCTTCCGCCCTCCGAATATCCGCTACCAGGATGGGCCCGATATTCGGGAATTAATTCGACAACGCAAACTCCTTGTTGGAGAGGAAAGAGCAGCCATGATGGCACGAATTAGGCAGGCAAGAGAATTAGCCCAAGTTGCTCACAAAGAAGCTTTGTTGGACAGGGCTAGACAGGGAGATAAAAACGCCATTGCACACATGCGTCGCTCGGCAGCAGGATCCCTGTCGGATGGTAGCTACATTCAAAGAGCTGGGGGACATGAGACAGCTCTTAGAGATTTGAAACACTTTTATGCAAGCAAGTTTAATTCGAGAGACCCAAACAGCCTTCAGCCCCTCAACGAAAGCCTCATCAGGAAGCATGGGGATGCTCCCTTCATTCCTGTCACGAAGGACGAACTCCTTCAGTTGCTGCAGACCTGCAAAGGGTCCACGAGCACAGGTCTTGATGGCATCTCATATGATGTCTTGACCAACATTCTCCGACATGATGTGGAGGACCGCTTGCCAGGCTGGTTTAATAAGGTCCTTGAGGGCAAGGAGAAAATCCCCAAAGAGTGGAAGGAGGGCAAGATCACTTTCCTTCCCAAAATCAGCCGACCCCTCAAACCTTCACAGCTTCGGCCAATCTGCCTTACCAGCACGGTTTGCAAGCTGTTTGGGAAACTTCTCAGTGTGAGGCTTCGCGAGAAACTCCCCGACACGCCTACAGCACAACTTGGGGCCAGGAAGGGCTGTCAAGTCCTTGATGGCATCACAACTGCTCAAATGATGTTATCTCTTTCTAAAGCACGTAAAGCCCCGCTACTTGCGGTCAAACTCGATATTGCTGCTGCCTTTGACTCAGTTCATCACAGGAGTGTGGGACATCTTCTGTTGGAATCCGCTCCCTGCAAGGAAGCTCTTAGACTCTGGGATCTTGTCAGAGGTAATGTCGTTCTTCTCCAATTGAACGGCGAGCATTGGTATCAAGAACTCCAGCAAGGAGTCATGCAAGGGACTAGCTATAGTGCTGAACTGTTCAGTAAACTCATGGCCTGGGGCCTACGTGACTTGGATGCAAGATGGGATGGAGTTTGGGGTCCTTGCATTCAAGGAATTCGGACGCCGCACATGTTGCTTTTCGCTGATGATGTTTCGGTCTTTGCGCGCACACCGGAAGAATTGCAAGCTAAATTAAAGGACATTCAGGACAGCTTGGAAGTTTTAGGGCTCAAAGTCAATCCTGACAAATGTGCCGCTCTGAGCAGCCCTGACTTTTCCAACCCAGGAATCTGGGCCCGAGGTACCTGCAAGCCTCTTCAGGTCCATGATCAGTTTATCTTCTTGGGAGCTCCTATTGGATATTCCATGGGACCTCTCGACACACTGGGTTTTTCGCTGCGTAAAGCTAGCAACGCCTTTTTTGGCTTTAAGAAGATTCTGTCTTCACATGCATGCCCCCTGAAAACCAAGTTTCTCCTCTTGGATACTTACATCACTTCCCGATGGTGGTGGCTAGCCCCCGCTGCTTTTCCTACCCTGAGAACACTCGAACAGATTGAAGCGAACAAAAATACCTTTTTGCTGAGCATGACCAGGATCGTAGGTGATCCCTTTGAATCTTGGGTCAGGAACACAACTGCCAGGAGGCGGGCATGCAGGCTCCTGGTTCAGGAGCTGAACGGTCCAAACT